AGGTAATGTGTCAGCTGGGTACGCACACACACACACACACAGACACACAGACACACACACACACAGACACACACAGACACACACACACACACGCACAGACACACACATAGACAGACACACACACACACACACACACATAGACACACACACACACGCACACACACACACATAGACACACACACACACATAGACACACACACAGACACACACACACACATAGACAAACACACACACACCCACTTGACCCCAGTTACTGTCACTGCCCTCTTGGGTCAAAGCCATAACCAGCTCAGCCTTACTGAAATTATTACATCATTCTCTGTCTTAACAGTTTTAGCTATTTACACAGCAGAGTACTTCCATCACTGAGTATTTCCATTGCTGAGTACTTCCACCAGTCAATCTTTTGTCCCAGGAAGTACGAGGCTGGGGTTCCTTCTGGATGGGAGAAGCTTAGTACTTCATTACAGCAAATTTCAATGTGAGATGTTCAAAGGCACAACAGGAGTGCCCTGACCAGACTTAGACCTAGACCTCAGACCGTAGACTGTGGAGGACACCCCCAGGCCCTTATCCTTCCTCTCCATCTGCTACCCACTTTACTTAATGCATACTGAATACTCAGCCATGTCAGAACATCTATCAGCATGCCATGCAGTACGGCGCCACCCAGTGGGGAGACACTGCCCATCATGTCCTTCACTATGCCAGCCTTCACACGACAGATACAGCCCCCTAACCCTCCGGCAGAAAGTGCCAGCCCCCTAACCCTCCGGCAGAAAGTGCCAGCCCCCTAACCCTCCGGCAGAAAGTGCCAGCCCCCTAACCCTCCGGCAGAAAGTGCACTACAAATGGGAGGCTTTTTTAAAAATTGCACGTTCATACGGAACAGCTCGTCTCAAACACCAACCCAGTTCTGAAAATTTATTTCCTAGTGAGTAACAAATAAGCTTTAGAGGAGACGGCCTCGTCTGGCCATGACAAAGAAACACACAAGGGCTGAGAGATGGGGGAGGTTCCGGGAGACTTGCTTTCGGCTTGCAATTCATCACTGTTATTTATCTGCTCCCCCCCGCCCCCTCCCTCAGCTGGGTTCTGAAGGTTCTGAAGTTCTGAGTCTGAATCTGCACTTTTTTTACAGACCGACTAGGAGTTGTTGTGATTTATGGGTTCGGTCCGCCTCTACTGAGGGTCAGCACTAGCTGTTTTACCCGTATCTGCTGTACGGGGGGAGGCACCGCAGGAAAACCCCCAAGACGACCACAGGAAGTGACTGACCTCACTCCAGACCAGCATTGTGCCGAAGATGACCTGCAGCCCATCGAAGAAGTTGTCCCCGATGATGATGACGGTGGCACCTCCCGTTGTCCACCCTTCGCTAGGACTGATGGCCTTGATGCAGGGGGTGGCTGCTTTTTGGGGAGGGGGGAGAGGAAAGATCATTCTGCATGAATTTAAAAATGTCTGCTGATCATAGGAGATCTCACAGTGTGTTCATGTGCTGTGGCCCAGCTGGGCAAAGAAGAATGGACTCCACTGGGAAGCTGTTCATAACGGCGCTGCACGACTGCGTCAGCTTCTTGAGGATCAGGTGTGACACGTGACGGGCAGGGCTGTACAGTCCATATGGGGGGCCTTAGGAAGTAAATACTGTCTATGACACACTGACACACAGACAGTACTGGTGAGTCCTTATGACTTGAGACACACTGACACACAGACAGTACTGGTGAGTCCTTATGACTTGAGACACACTGACACACAGACAGTACTGGT